CATATCTGAACGAGCATGCTAGACAACCAATTTAAATCTTTAAAATTGATACTAAAAGTTTTAAAACTCAAAGTTACAAAGTCTTTAAACATTTTCATATTTCTGGTTAATTTTCTGATCAAATGATAGTTAATTAGTGAATTGAAAGATCACTATCAGTGATATGATAATTTCGAGCATCACTGTGCGAATGAACTCCTAAACATTTTGCAAATCTGCGCTTATTCAGCTTACTGGCAGCATTTTTATTTTAAATTTAAACTGCTAGTAAAATGAAATTAACGAGGAACTACTAATTTACTTTGTTTTTTTTAAGATTTATTTGCAAAATTTAATCATAACTTTTGCCTTAAATAACATAGTCGGTTGAACAAACTATACTCAAAATGAATATTCAAAAGAAATTGATTTACCGAATCCAATGTTATTGTCCGGAATTGACTGTTCAGGAAATTAGTTCGAAAGGAAAATGGAAAATTTGCCTGATTGATTATAGTAGTGCTGCTTGAACAATTAGAAGATGGTGTTAATTGTAGGGCAGTAATTTTTTTACAGATATTAAAAGGAGAGCGGAAGAAGACAAGGTTATGATTATGATTTTGTATAATTATTTTGGCCAACATGAACAGGCTTGACCTTTTACATTTATTCACCAACCACTAATCAACAATTAATGAATAACAAATCTAGAGAATTAAACATTCTTTACGCATTTCAGAAATTGACTATTCTTTTCAAAGTTAATATTTACTATTGAAAGGCTTAAATTTAAATTTAACCAACTCCTCAAAACATTTTGTATTTGATCGTTATTGAAAGAAAGGTATGTTAGCTAAATCCTTTGGAAAAGAAAAAAGTTATATTAGCTAAATTTTAGAATTTCAATAATTCAAACAATTGGAAATGCAAAAATTCAAAATAAATAAAAAAATAAGGTTCAAAAAGTTACGAAAATTGCAAAAGGAATATTTTTTGAATTAAAAACCTCAAAAAAAAATTAGTAATGAATAGATAATGAAGAAGTTAATTTTAAGATATGCAAAATCTTTGAAAATTTTAAACTTATCAGTTCAATTCTTCAAATTCAACATTTCATAAAACTCATCAATTTTCGAATTTAATTTTCGACTTCTACTCACTTCATTAATATTATGTAATATTACATGAGGCAAAAAGTTTGTCGGAATAATTAACCTGTAACTTCAAATATAAATCAAAATATAACCTAAAATTTTAACTAACTGTAACTTTGAATTAATTGATAACTTCATAGTTTTTTTTTTTGGGTATAACTTGAGATAAAAAGTTCATCGAAATACTTAATACTTAATTTTAAATCATAACTATAATTTTAAATTAATTCATAACTTTATCGTCCATATATTTTCAACAATTATTATCATTTTATCATTCCATCTTTTAACAGATACAGTGTTACATTTAACAATAACATAGTTAGGTCAAGCAAAGAGAGAGAGAGAGAGAGAGAGAAGAAAAAAAAGAAAAATTATGCACGGAATGTCAGCCAAAGTTTCGATAATCATTTGAGCAAACGAATTGTATAGCCTTACACTTCCCGGTACACTGACCATTCAGTGCTACTCAGTATTATTAGTGGTCAGTACGAGAATGCTTTAAACGAATTCAATCAGTTACATTCATCAAATTTTAATACCTTTTCTACCTTTTCATTCCTTCTCACAATGATAATGTTGCATTTCTCAGATAATGAATGGTGTGATTATCATTCCATTAATTATCAAACATTTACCGCTGATTATCACAATCAAACATTTCTGCCAATATTCATATTCCAATCAGGATATGCAAATTAACTTCTGAGACGAAAATCAATTGTTGAAATTAATTAGTAATTAACTTTACTATGCCTGATTTGTCTAATTTTAAGCGCTACTACCAAAAGAGTTGTATGATTTTCCAAAAAAAAAAAAAATTTTAAGTATTATTTTAAAATGTTTAATAAGATCGTTTTTTAATGATATTAGTCTCATTTTGGAAAATAAATTCTTTTTCAACGAATATATGCAAATGTTAGAAAAAAAATTTTAATTACTGCATTATTTAACTTAAACTTCTTGGAATGATGCTAAATTAGCTGTAGTAGTTTATTGTCAACATTATTTTAAATACTAAATAACTTCTATTAATGGGGATAATTAATTTTAAAATGTTTTACTTTTAATTTAAATAGATACAATTTCATATTTGAGGTATTACTGTTGTCGCCCTTTATCAGTTTATTAATTCAAATAAGGCCAATGTCAACGTTTGGCGCAATAGTCATTCATTTTTTAACGTTGTAACAATTCATATTTAATGTTGTAAGAATTCATATTTTACACGAAAAAAATCAATTTTTCAAATTTATGCAAATATATGAAAATGGTTATTCATAATTTCTTAAAAAGAAAATTAAAATTAACCAATTAATAATTGTTTGAAAATGTGAACCAGAAGAATAATATACCGTATACAACAATGAAATAAAGTAAATGATCAAAATTTATTGGCCAAATTTTTGTTAGATTTTTAATTCCTATTCGATTCAGTAATTATTTTTTATCAGATTAATTTTGAAATAATAATTAAATTGATTTTTAATATTTAAAAATTATAGAATTAAAGAAAGAAAATTATTGTCAATGCTTTTTGCACAATGCGTTTGGCTTTTTTGCAAAGATATATCTCTCAATTCTTCGAATATTATATTGTATTGATTATTCGTTATCCATGGCTATTTATTTCAATACCGATACTATTGACAATTGCGCTTAGCACTGGACTAAAATATCAACAGGATGCTTTCTTGAAAGATGAACTTAGCCAATATGTTCCAATTAATGCACAAGCTCGAAGAGAATTACAACAACTAGATGAATTATTTCATATCGATGATTTAGATCCATTATATGCTACCAGAAGGTTATTCATTCATTTACTTACTTCTCTCAAAATCTATTACTTCACATTTCAACTTATTCTTTTTTTCAGATATGATACCAAACGAACCGGATACATTATCGTAAGAAGCATTGCCAATAATGATGATGATGATGATAATGTGCTGAAGCCAATTGTTCTGGATACGGTATTAAAATTATGGAATGTAATACAAGAGATTAGAATTGAAGGACCAAATAATACCACTTTCAATTATCCATCCATTTGTGTCAAATTTCCAATTTCACCTGAATTTGATGAAATTATTGCAAATATTTTAATGCGTAAATCATCCAGGTGAGAACAGGTTGTTACTCTTTCGCTACTTCCTAATTGTCAAAATTTTACCTTTTACTTTTTAACTTAATTAGTTTAATTTCTAAATTTCTTTTGCTAAAATAATTTTATCTGTAAGATTCATTTCGCATCAATTACTCAATTCTTTTATTTCCTGAGAAATTTAATCAAATATAAGCAAAAGTTTTTCTTTAATTCCTTTTGTTTTTATTTTTGTTTTTTAATTTTTCAACACATTTCTCGTATCAATACAACAAATAATATTCTTATTAACAAAGAATTTCAATAACTGCTTATGAAATGGTAATTAATTAATTACTTTTGGTTACTGCTCGGACTAATTGCAAATGTTTAAAGAGTTGAGTAATATTTTCAAAAATTTCAGACTACAAGAAGAATGTGTATCAAATCCACTGATAACTGCATTTAAGATGTTTCTAAATGGTGATTTTAATCCAAAAAATGACACTATTGATCAAGTTATTTTACAATTAGTTGCAAATTCATTTTCATCAAATCTATTAAATAGTATTTGCAATTTTTTGGGTGGTATTACTTTTGACGAGAAAAATCAAATTTCCGGTTTGTATTGAATTGAATTTTTAGCAATTTCAATCATTTATTTTCTAATTTACTCTAACTTTATTTCTACTTTTTTGGCATATGAAATTCCGAAATTTTGTGTTATAATTTAAATTAAAATGAAATTTTAAAATAAGAAAATGCATGAACAAGTAGAAGTTAATGAAAATAAGCATAAATATCTTTCTAAAATTTCTTACTTGTTTATTTCAAGTTACAATATTTCTGAAATAAAATAAATAATTCAATAAATAAATCAAATATTTTTTGTTGTATTTTTAAAAAAAAAAAAACCAAATCACAGAGAGAGAGAGAGACAGAGAGAGAAAGAGAGAAAGAGAAGGAGAAAAAGAGAGAGAAAAAATAAACAAGGAGATTTTCAGGGGCAAAAGCGATAATGCTACCATATGCATTACGACATTCAACAGTTTTCCAGGATAATTTAGCTGAAAAATGGGAATTAAAATTAGCCAATTTTCTATCACAATATGCTTCAAATACTATTAAACCTTCTTTATGGACTTATGAAATTTTAGCTATAGAAAGCGCTAATGGTCGTGATCAATTGATTAAGTAAGTAATTAATTAATCTCAAAAATTTAAAATAACTTTCTATTTTACTATATTTTTAAATGGGAAAAATTTTATCAATTTTTTAATTTAGCTGAAAATACAAATATAAACTTTGCTAAAACAATATTTCATGAATAAATCTTTGTACCAAACGCGCTATTTCAACATACAAAATATCCTATTTTATTTGCGCCACTGAATGAATCATCATCATTTATACATCAACAAACCAATCATTCATATTTTTTAGAATGCTATTCCCAAGTTTCCTAACATTATTACTGTATACAATTTTATGTTGTTGTATACCATCTTGGATTTATTCTCGACCATGGTTAGCAATTGGTGGAGTTATCAGTGCAGCAGCTGCTGTTATCAGTGGTATTGGTTTATTGCTATTATTGGGTTATCAAATTATCAGCGTTGCATATTTGATGCCATTTATTGTCTTCTGTAAGTTATTATCACTAATGTTATCATCAATTATAATTAAGTTGTACCTTTATAGCATATGACATTAAATTCATTTAGCTAATTTATAAATGTTAGCATTCTTTTAGCCTCATCTATCTATGATCTTTCTTTTTTTTAATTTCTCTAAAAATTATAAATTGTATTTTGGGTAAAAATGTATTTTTAACGAAATGATTCGTTTTTCTCCATTTTTAGCAGTTGGAGTGGACAATGTATTTATCACTTTATCCGCTTGGCGATCAACTTCTCTTGCTAATTCATTTGTGACACGTATGAAGAAAGCATTCACTGATGCATCTCTCTCAATTACCGTAACCACTCTTACCGATCTTATTTCATTTACTGTTGGTTGTTTTGCACCTTTTCAGTCCGTACGGGTTTGTACAGTTTTAACTTTACTTTTTTTAAGATTTAATTTTATGAAAATTAAATTAAAAAATTTCATTCATTATATTTAAATGGAAACAATCAAGCTAAGTATAATGATACTTGATAAGTTATAGTATGGTATTCTTATCAAATTTTTTCTCACGACATTTTTGTCAACTAAGAGTATGAATATGTAAACGTACGTGATTAGAGTAGCTTGTATTACGTAAGTCTTCACGTGATAAAAGGATTAGAATTTAAGCTTAACTTTTGTATTTTTTTTTTCAGTCATTTTGTATGTATGCTGTATCAGCTATTTCTTTCGCATATATTTATCAATTAACTTTCTTTTCCGGTAAGTTGCAAAATTTTCAAGATGTGTAGGGTAGATGAGAAAAAGTTCACTCCTATCAACACAATTTTATCTTAGCATTGCCAAAGGATAATTAATTAGGCTGATAATTAATTACCAATAATACTTTATCTTCTGGTTGACAACCATTTTCAGCTGTATTAGTTTTGACAAGTAAACGTGAAGCTGCCAAGCGGCATTGCTTAACATTCCGGAAAACTGTATCGGCCAGGAAAAAAAGATCTTCCGGATTGCATCTTTTTTCTGAAGGTTTGTTTGAATTTCTCACAAAACCAAAAATTATTCGTTACAAATATTTTAAAACAATTTTCATGCTAAAATTCTAAGTTACATATAAATATAAATGAATGGATGGATGAATTAAATAATGATTGGTGGTAATTATCAAAGTAAATTAATTTATTTAAAAGTTAGCGAACTGTTCTGATACGGAATTGAACTAAGTGTTTTGAATCAAAAAATTTTTGAATTTAAGTATTAATCTTTTGAATTTCAGTGATAAGTAGTATTTGAGTTGTAAACATACGATAAAACAGACTGTAACAGGTCAAAAGTAATAAAGAATTTTTTTTTCGTGTAAAAAAAAGACTAAATTTCGTTTTCAAGTTATGCCACATAAAGGTCATACGCTTTATTGGTCAACGATTCGAGAAGAACGGAAAATGATGCCATACCGTAATCACTTGCTTGCTAACTTTTTCCGTACAACTTACTCTGATTGGTTATTCAAACCGTCGATTCGATTAATTATACTCATACTTTTCGTTATTTATCTCGTAAGTTCTATGAATTCACTTTAAAATACTTCACATCTTCAAATCATTCCTGTTTAATTATATATGTTTAAATTAATTAATTGGATATATTTAAATATATATGTTTAAACACAAATATATATATATATATATATATAATTAATGATGAACAATGCAGGTGAAGATATATATTTAAACTATTCTCTTAATTAGTGGTGTCCTCATAATTAATACTTGAAAGTAAGATTTTTTGTCGTATTATTATAGATGGCATCAATTTGGGGTTGTATGCATATGAAATTAGGCCTCGAACCGAATGAATTACTTTCAATCGATTCAAATAGTCATGAGGCTTTAGCAGTTATGGAAAAATACTTCTCTGGTCAGTTTTTGTCCACTCTTTACCATTTTACTTATACGTACAACGATAGAATTTAATATACAAACTGATTGAAATTATCTTGAAATATTTAAAATTTGAAAGACTTTTGTAGGCGATACCTGTTGTATGCTAATATTAGCACCTTAATAATTTAGTTATCTTCTAATTTAAAAATAATTATTGATTTACAATGAACGTTTTACTTTTTGGGACAATTCATTTCATCAATGATATCATATGACATTTTGTTTATGTCCTGAGAAAATGACAAGAACATCAATGTAGGTTACAGGATGAGAGAGTGTATGTCGAGAAATCGAGTTTTACCTCTGAAATAGCTACCTGGTCTATTTGAAATTTTTACTCGAATTCAATTTAAGCATCAGATATTCCAAGTTTTCTTTTTTTTTTGATTTCCATAGTCTCACACTAGCTAACTTAATTAGAAGATTAGACTGGTCTATGTTTGCACACCCTAGTTAGCTTAATTAGAGGATTAGACTGGTCTATGTTTGTACTAATCATAGCTTACTTGAAGTTATCAAAGCTTAACTCTGTCATATTTCGTCTTCAATATCATAAATAAATTTGTAAGGTCAAATTTTTCAAAGATAAAATGATGCATAAGTTGATGCAAAATATTTTCAGATTATGGATCATATCTACATGTATGGATGTATAATTTATCAGAGATTAATTTTTCAAATCGCCAAATTTGGGCAATTCTGGAAGATGAAATAGCTCTATACGAATATACCGAATATACCGGACCTAGTGATTCATGGTTAATTATAAATAAATTTTATAATTATTTCAAAATTTCTTTTTCCAAAAAAGAAAAGAGAACGAAACGAAAATTAGATTTGATAATTTTCTTTCCAACATAGCATATATTTTCAATATATATGACAAATGGCTTTCCAATCTTTATTTATTTACTTTTAATCAAATTGATTAATTAATTCACTTCATTCAAATTTATTTTCATTTGATATCCAAAAATTTAAAATATAAATTTTGATGAAAAGTCAAATATCTTTTGCAAATATTACATTCTTGAGGAATTTAAAATTTTTAAATTTTTAAAGATTCCAATTTTTAATTATTATTTTCATGAAAGCGATAATTAATTATTAGAAGCAATAAAAAAAAGGTTGTAAGAATTTCTAGGATGATTTCTAATGAATGATACAATTTTAGGTTACGTGCAATGATACAATATTGTCAAAAAAATAACATCGAAATAACATCCAATAATTTTATATATATTTTAAAAAATATTTTCCTCTCTCAACCACAATTTGTTTATTACAAACGGTATGTTTAATTGTTACATTCTTGAGGATTTTGAAATTTTCGAATTTTTAAAAATTCGTTCAAATTTTGATGAAATTTTAATTATATCATCTTTTACATTTCAAATTCCCAATTAGTTTTATTGAAAATAATAATTTCAGCGATATTTTATTTGACACGACGGGTAATATGCTTGAAGTTTCACGTGTCCTCATTCAGCTACGTCATATTGGAGCAAGTAATCAATCTCGAGCTATGCAAATTTTACGAAATATTGCAAAATCACGTATCATTAAAACTGGATTATATGCTGATTTCTTCCAGGTCATTGACATTTTTAATTTACTTAATACACCTATACAATAATTAAGAGTGAATTTATAATTTTAAATTTTAATCTTATCAGTTTATCATTAATTTATAGTTTGCGGAACAATACAATGCAGTACTTCCGGGTACGCTATCAACGATAGCAATTGCTAGTTTTGCTGTTATTATTGTTTCTTTATTGTTAATACCAAAAAGAATTACAACATTTTTGGTTACATTAAACATCATTACGGTAAATATGGGTGTCCTGGGTTTCATGACCTTTTGGAATGTTCGTCTCGATTTTATCTCAATGATAACAATTATCATGAGCGTTGGCTTTTGCATTGATTTTGCTTCACATTTAGCATTTAATTTTGCAAAGGTTTGTCAAATTCTTTTTTAGATTTTGTTTAAATTTATAAATATTTATTTGACAAATTTTCTATCCATTCAATTTAATGTTATTTATTGTTTATTTAATAATGAATGATATAATTTTTATTAAAGCTAATTTCTTCTTTATTAAAGTTAATTTTAATTTAAAGCTAACTTTTTCTTTTAGAACATATTCTTTTCTTATTTAAAATAAAATAGGGAAGACTATTAAGCCAATAATTCCATGAATAAAAAGCCAAGTAATGTCTGTCGCGAAAGTTTGTTGTGAAACGACACAAATATAAATTGAATATCGAAAATATTATTAAAAAACAAAAAAAAACTTACTCTGAATTTATTTTGAAACTTACTTTGAAAATATTACTGTAAAGCTCGAATCTTTTAAAGTTGTAATTAGAAGGAACGAATTCCCTAAAATTGTTTTGCTATAGCTAAAATGAAATAAACGATGCTAAATTAAATGAAGAAAGGAAACAATACATTTGATAAAAGATATAGGACTAATAGATATATTTGATGAGTGGTGAAGCGATGAAAGGAAGAAGTTTATGGATATTTAGGAATCCAGAAAGAGATATCCCCAGATGGAGACATGGGTCACAGTTAGATTGTACAAAACTGCATCGAAATTTCCTGAGAAAATTTCCTATTTTTACTAGCTCTTTTACAATAGTGTACAAAAATAGGATATGAATTCATTTTTGATAAGTATTGGCTCATTTATAGATTGAAGAGATAGGCTCTTTTG